ATCAGACTTTTGATATCATCACAAATATCTTTAAATAGATGACATGCTTGCATCGTATGTGAAGGCAAAAAAATTAATACATATTTAACCTTGATAATTCGACCGACTAAAGATAAAGATTTAGCTCGCCAACTGAATAACCTATCTCCAGATTGTTGCAGTAAAAGATATATATCTATATATATATATATATATATGACCTTATTTGGGTTAATTTGTAAGGTGTGATCCTGGACTTTTTAGGATTTACGGAATTGTTTTATAGTTTTATTTTGTATCCATTTTAGTATTTAAACTTTTAATTTAGACATCAAGTTCCAAGTTTTATTTGGTTTAATATTTAATCATTCAAATTTTATGCAATGGGGTCCCTATACTTTAGCATTATGGTAATTAATCCTTCCAAATCATATTGTCATCTAAATTTATCCTTCTAAATTTCACACTTTATTCAATTAAACCCTTTAAAACTTGCATTTCTTCCAATTTGTATACTATAGTTTGAATTTCACTTAAACAGTTTCACATTGTTTCGTAAAACTTCTAACCCTAGAATTGGATGTGACAAACTCCAATTACATTTGGACCAATCCTAATGATGGATTGAAGGATCTTGAGAAGTAGAGCTATATATTTTGAAATCAACATGATCTGGTTGCGGATTATGGAATTTGAGGTATTTTCTAGCGAAACAAACATCGCATTCTCATTTATGAGGTCAAATACGAATGGAGATTTTGTGTCCAACAACCATAGATAGTGGTAGCATATGACTGTTTAGCTAGATTTTTCGGTTGGATGAGTTTTTAGGGTTTTCAAAGGACATGAAAAATAAATGGATAAACTACACGAGTGGTCCTTTATGTTATTTCCTCCTCCTCTTCCTTTTATTAATGGGTTAACCGAAGTTGATGACTGAGAGATTAAAAGTGGACGTGCCGATAAAGTAAGAGACCTAGACTATCTTTTTTTGAGTCGGTGACCAAAATCAGACGAATAGAAAACATAAGGAATCATTTGTGTAGTTTACTCAAAATAAATGAAAACAAAATTTATTAGCTAAATTGATATTTGGTCTAAAGTTTAAATGTCAAATTAGAAATTGACAATATTTTAACGTGCCACTTTATTAAAATGACGAGAGTTAATAACTCAATGAAAAATTGTAACAAATCGATAATGTAAGTAATTGAAGTATATTTTTTTAAAGTTTGATCATAAAAATTGAATAAAATTAATATAAAACTGACCTGAATGGTCGTTTACCCAATAATCAGTTTTTCTTTTTCAAAACATGAAAGTAAATCCTAGTTTGATCATCTGTCGAAACTTGAAACCTCAATGCTAGGCATAATAATTTGGAAGTTTAGAGTTAAAAGGCCGATGTAAATTACTTGAAAGCCCAGCTGCTCTAACTTATAAATACTTAACGGCAACTTCAGGAAAATCCCGGCAACCGAAGTGGAAGCTAGGGTTGTTCCCGTTTCTGAATTTGGAATTCTTTAGGGTTTAATATCAGGGAAGCTAACATCCATGGCTACCCCAAGCCATCACCAAAATACAACTAATCCAACCAGAAAAAAGAAAACCCTGAAAAACCCAGAAGCCAATTTTCTATATGAACTCCATTCTTGCTCCAAATCCAAGGACCTCAAAGCAGCAATTTCGCTTTACGGGTCTGCCATTTCCAACGAAACTCGCCTCAACCAAAACCATTTCAACGCACTGCTTTACCTTTGCTCCACTTTTGCCACCGACCCCGACTCCAAAGATCTCGCTTTACAATATGAGTTTCGGGTTTCTGAGCATATGTCGGCCTTAAATATCCATCCTAACGGAGCTTCTGTTACCGCCATTGCCCGTTTAGCCGCGGCCAAAGGCGATGGGGATTACGCTTTTGAAATTGTTAAAACGTTGGGTGATTATCAGGTTCCTCCTCGGCTTCGTACTTATGAGCCTACGTTGTTTTGTTTTTGTCAGAAGTTGGAAGCTGACAAGGCTTATCAAGTTGAGGAGGAAATAAATAACATGGGATTGAGCTTGGAGGAACCTCAAATTGCTGCTTTGTTGAAACTTAGTGCGGATACGGGGAGAGAAGAGAGGGTTACAATTATTTGCATAAGCTGAGGAGGAGCGTGAGGTGGATCAGTAAGGAAACAGGGAAGATTTTAGAGGATTGGTTTTTGTCTAAAACGAGTGAGATTGGTTCCGAGGGAGCGAAATATGACGTGGTTCGGTGAAAGAATCGATTTTTAGGAATGGTGGAGGGTGGCATGGGTTGGGGTTGATTGGGGAAGGGAAGTGGGTGTTGAGGAAAGGGAATGTTGAGCCGAATGGTCAATGTTGCTGCTGTGGAGAGAAGCTGGATTGTGTTGATATCGATGATGTCGAGACAGAGAAGTTTGCCTTTCGGTTGCTGGCTTGGCTATGGAGAGGGAGGTTAAGGCTAACTTTAGGGAGTTTCAGGTGAGGAACACATTGGCAATGTTATTTCGCTTTTTATTATCACTTGTATGATAGCTAGCACATTGAATGAATGAAACTTCAATAACAGGTTTGAAGATTGATAGGTGTAGACCCTTGTAGGTTGAGACTTTTGTTTTTTATTTTGATCAATCTGCAAGATATAATTTGTGAAGGCTTGGTGTTTGTAGTTATTATAATTTGTAGGTTTTTTAAAAATCTTCTTTTACTTTTGTATTTGTATAATTAGATTTCGGATTTAAGACTGTCCGCACTAGTCTCGCTTGATCTTCCATATACAATCAATCTGTACCAGTTCTATACAATCAACCTGTTATAAATGTTTAATGTTTTAGGCTTGTTGCTAAGTGAACAATATATGCAAATGCAATTACTAAAATTTCTTTGTACTATGCAAATTCCAATGGCTATGTTTTAATTTTTTTTAGAGCATCCTTGGGAATTTGCTTTCGATCATTATCTGTGGGAAAAACTTGCCGAAATTAATCATTTCTCGACTTTCCTATAACTTGTTAGAAAAGTCTCTTGTTGGCAGACGTTTATGCATGTTGTGACATGTTTCTTTCCTTGCTTATTAATGTAGAGCAAAGGATAAAAAATTTATAATCAATCATGCACAACAGATGTGAATCTATAACTTATGCACTGCTTGAAGAACCAGAAAATGCCAGAAGATAAATGAGGCATATTTTTGACTAAAACTATATATTGATATTTCTGGACCCCGTTTAGCCTAATTCTTACTGTTTTTCTATTTTCTTCTTACTTTTTAATTTATATATTATTAATACAGGATTGGTTGGAAAAAATGCCAATTTTGAAGCCATAATGGATGGAGCAAATGCTGGGCTCTACCAACAAAATTTTGCATAGGGCGGATTCAGTGTTCTTCAGGTTGTATATCCAACAGTTGGCTTGTCTACTTTGCATTTATATTGCACTGTATCTTCTGTCTCTCAATTTGTGTTGCTAATTGTTGTACATTTTTTGTAAAAATTGCAATAGAACAGCTTGATGCTGTCGTAAAAGAAATGTATACTAGAAGTGGGAATAAATGACCACTTGTCATTCTGCTTAATAAACGTGTGCGTGCCCTCTTGGAAAATCCTTCCTCTAGAAAGCTGGTTGAAGAATAGATGGCTAATGGTGTTCTTTATACAACGCCTCATGGTTCCAATGATGACTGGTATGGACATTGGAGAAAAAAATTTGGTTCATTTATTACTTTGAGATATCTGGTTTAATATTACAGTTTTGCTTCAGTCAGCACTCATTGCAATTTGAACACGACCACAAAATTATTCTATCTACAGGTATTGGCTTTATGTTGCTGTAAAACTTAGATGTCTGCTTGTGACAAATGACTAAATGCGAGATCACATTTTTGAACTCCTAGGAAGCAGCTTCTTTCTCAAATGGAAGGAAAGACACCAGGTTTGTGCTGTCTGAAATCCTAATTGACACATGGCAATATCGTTCCTATTTTTGTCGCACTTTCTTATTTTTTTTCTTCATCAAGTTTTTGAACCAGAAATGCCTCTTTATCCCATGATTGTATCATGTGTAACACGCTGAAACTTTGAACTTTACTAGTAGGTTCAATTACTCTATTACTCTGCATTAGACATTCTTCTTATCGGAGTGTCGGTCCATTGTATTCTGCAAAGTAGGCAAAATGGTCGAATTCTTTTTCTGGACATGGCTTTCTATTTCTACATTTGTTTGACTTCATGAGGGAAGGCTCGAATTTATTTGTGATAACTGTTAAATGGGGATCTCACTTTATACATTGACTTGTGTTTCATTTGCAGGTTCGATATACTTTTCTGAAAGGAACCCTGAAACTTCAGATGCCACCCGCATACTCTATCGTCATTCAGGCAGTCGATGGTTATTTTCTGTTGCATTTTCATATTGGAGAATGTTATGATTTCTTGCCATTGTCGAACAGCTTGTAAATTAGCCCTTGTATTTTCCATTGGAATATAAAAGAAATGAATCTCTGTTTCAGGAATCTGAGAAAGGATCATGGCATGTCCCATTGTATGCAACAGCGACGAGGAGATATCAAGAACTTGGCTTTGCATTACCAGGCCAGGTGCTTGTTAAGATGAAGGTAAAACCTGTGAAATTGATGATGGACCCTGCTGTAAGTCACCCATATCAGAAGCAGGCGAGAACGGAAACCATGAAAAAGTCCGATGATAAAAGCACATCCATGACAGGTAAAAGAAAAGAGAGATCCCCCTGATTAAAAAACTATTGTTACAAGTGGCAAACCTGAAACCCTTTTCAAACTGACCGGAGTAGTTCTTGCAGTTTGGTTTGTAGAATCTGCAAATCGAAACAAACTTCCATTTTTTTGTTTCAAATCCTCCGTATGAGCAACTTCATCCCCTATAACACCATTGGTTTTCTGTTATCCGGTTTGGTACATCTTGAAAAATGGCGTTCCGAGTCGGGAATTGAACATCTGAAACTCCACAAACTTGAACAAATATTCATGACGATTGAGGTATATTAGGCCGATAGTATGATGAAATATAGTTTTATGATAAGGTATTCTTGGTACACAATTTGTTGACAGCTAAACATAATCATTCAGATGCTGCCATGCCATGACTTACACTAATCAAAACCATGAAATTGATAAAGCATTTAGGAAATACAACCCTTATTAACCAAATTAATATTCCTTGTTTTCGAATCATTTGAAAATATATTTTACGATGCCGGGAATATGAATGTTCATGAAGTAATCTTCCCAATCAATGCGTTTGGGGTCGAAATACAACATATCCTTCTCCACCAGGCTTGTTCTTGCTGCCATTCGCAACTTCTCCGTGTTCAAATCATCGAAACTGTACTCAAAGAGAGTCGATTATGAAAACTAAAGACCAACATATCTTTAGATAGATAAACAGATAGATGGAGAGAGACTTACATAGCGTTGAAGAACAAGTAAGGTCTATAAATATCTATCAGTCTCATAACGAAGTTGATCTTCCTGTTTAGATTACTGTAAACGCCTTGAAAGAATTGACAGAATGCTGCATTTGCCAATTCTAGTCCCTTGAGAAGAAGCAAGTAACGAAAAGCCATGTATCTGTGGAAGCTATCCATACTGTTGAGGACTGTGACTTTGCCCACAACGACAGGCTTCCCGTCTTTGTTGATCCATGGTTTGTGGGAAAAGTAACGGAAGCCATAGTCTTGTAGATGAGAGTACCTGATCGGGTTCCGGACCGAGGAACCAACTTGATAAATCGTCTCGGGTGGTGGTTCGTGCGACGCGTGAGCCATCATTGCTGCTATCATGGCGTTCACCACCATGTCTGCTGGTATCTGCAAACAACGTTTTTGAATTCAATCCTGCTTTAGACCAGTGGACATGCATTAGAGGGAGCTATTTAGTGTAAAAAGTGGAGGTTAACTCACCACATCAACTACCGAGTCCAGATTTCCCAGGAAGAATGTCAATTTCCCTTTAGCATAACCAACTGCTAGGCTATCAATGGTCCTATTATTAAAACAAACAAATATAATTAGTGTTTTTTTTGGAGGGGGGATTCAAAGCCAAATGTGTTGTTAATAATAGGTAAACTACAAGTTTAGTACCTCAAATATCACTTTAATTTCGTTTTGGTCACCTACCTTTTTTTTAAATTGTTTATAACATTTATTTTTTGTTTCATTTTGATCAACAACCGTTAAAAATTTAACAGTGATGTTGACGTTTACTACAAGTAAATAAATGTCATGTAATCATTAAGGAAAAAAATCACATAGTAAGTTCTGTTAATTTTTTAAGGATAGTGACCAAAATAAAACTAAAAATAAATCTTATATATGATTTAAAAAGTAGTTAAATTACCAAAACGAAGCAAAAGTGGTTATCCTTAATAGTATTAAATACCTGATTCCTTCAGCCCAGCCAGGGAAGGGCTCTTTGTAAGTGCTGGTGATGATGGTAGGGCGAATGATGAGTGCTGGAACAATGCCTTTCAACTCTCCCAACACCATTTCTCCCATCGCCTTTGTAAATACGTAGGTGTTTGGCCATCCATAAAGCCTTGCCCTGTTTTTACCATTTTCAATTTTACTATTTGCATATTTTTTTTATTCCATTTAAGCATTTATTAAATGAGTATTGCACATTTCAAGCCTTGTCCCCATGCTTCTAGGGGAACAATTGTTCTCTCTGTCTCTTTTCTAAAATTAATGATCCATCACCATTAGAAAATTTTCACCATCATCTTGCTCAGAGAGAATATATCTTAATTTGTTATGTCAAAATATTTTAGATATATAGATTGTATTGTTGTTATGTTATACAATACGCGATTTTAATTTTTAAATATAAATTTATATTTAAATTCAACTTATCTTTTACATTATAACGTCAAATTGAATATCGAAAGTAAAAATAAAAAAATATAAAATTAAATCTGAAATTAAATTAGTTGATAAATAAATTTTAGGAATATAAATCTATGAAAGGAATTCAATTGGGTTGAGCAATCAAATCAAATTTAAAGTTGAGACCTACTCAACAATTAATGTTATTGGAGGGAGACGGCTGCTGTTTTAAGTTTTCGCTTTTAATTTCATCAATTTTGGACGGCCAGGGTTGTTTGTGTTTGGTGTACAACTGACCAACTTATTAATGTCTTTCCATTCATTTATCAGCTTAGCTACAAAAACCATATGACATGCTTAACAAATACATAATATAATACACATTTTATTAAACCAATAATCAAATATAATATAAATATTATTATTTCGGTGTAGAAATAGATACTTTATAAGCTTTAATGAATGAACACAGTCCATTGAGAGGTGGACCATGCATGTGAGTCTTATCCTCTTTATTCAATGACACAACATTTTATTTCAACAACAAAAATATATATTGTTTAGATATATCTCATAAATATTCTTTTAAAGAAACTATAAATTATTTTATCATGTGTTTTTGGTAAACATTATTTTATTGTATTGACTAACACGGGACAGTGCTTATTATAATAATAATACAAAGTTTTATTTGCGTGACAGAAATTCAATTTAAAATCATATTATGAGTTTGTATGACAGGGGTATTTGTGTCTTTTAATTTACATGGAATATATCTGTATAAAAGTTCAATTGCTTTGCAAAATATCATTTCTCTAAAGACTACAATGTTTTACTTTTAAAACTTGGTATACAAATTATTAATTTTTAGAAAACGACGGTTCATTTCAATTAATGCTTAATAAGTGATTTGTATTGAGAGCTTAAAAAAAGGGAAAATAGAATTGGAGGAACCTTTGAATGCCCAAATCTTTCATGGCAAGAGTGATATCCTTGTCGGAAGCACCTTGTGATCTTAAATCACTAAGCTTTTCGTCAACCACTTTCCTCTCCATATCGAAGTCTAAGCCTGTCACCCCATTCAGTGCTTCTCCCATATTGTACCCATTCTCAAGTATAAGCCCTGACCTCTCTCCTGATACATATGCTGCCCAAAATAAATGTAATTATATAAGACAAAATCTTCATATCGATTACATATTGAACCTATTAAATGATCTCATTAGTTAAAAGAAGTATCGTTCTCTTTAAAGATCTCGAGTTCAATCAGTTGCGTTTGCATATATTAACTTATAATCAACCTTTAAAAAAAAACCCTTAAGTTTGGGGTGATTAATTTGTGTTACCAACCTGTGGATACATGAACCAGCACATGTAGTTTGACACATTGTTTGGCAAAGTCCACAACATATTTAACTCCCATTGTGTTGAGGCCAAGTGCCACATCATATCTACATCCGACCAAAACAAAATTACAAATGATTTTTTTTTGGGAAATGTATGAAGAGTTTATTGTTTGCACCTTTCATCAAAGTTGGTAGTTGCAGCAAGGTTAAGGAGAACATCCACGTCCTTGAAAATGTCTTGAACCAAACCAGAATCTTCAACACCCAAATCCTGACGGGACATGTCCCCGGGGATTACACCGATCTTTTCTGATATAAACGAAGTGAAGTTTTTCCCATGCTTCTCCTTCAGAATTTTAAACAAATCCTTCCCTATGATCTGTTAGCACAACCAATCACCGTATTGTTAAAAATATAGTGCACTTGTGTAAGTTTAAATATTCCGAAAGATAAGAACCTCATTGTGCAGACGATGGATGGCGGATTTATGGTCCGCTGCTCTTACGAGTAGATATAGTTTCTTCACATTAGGTTGAACCCTAAGTATTTTCTCCACAAAAACTGCATCCAAAACCAATATACACACAACATTCATGTGACATCGATACGTGTATAATAATTAAGATGAAAAGTTTACTCACTCTTTGCCAAAAACCCAGTTCCACCGGTGACCAGAATAGATTTGTTGTCAAGAAACTGAAGAACACTTCCTAGTTCCATGGCAAAGGACAAGGAGAGGAAGAAGAATGGAATAAAGAAAATTATTAGCGAAGTATAGAAGAGGGTGATTTAAGTGAGGCTGGCTTTTAAAGGAAATCTAATGAGGGGCCTCATTCACTTGATGGATTAGATATAGAGAGAGAAGGGGGGGGGGGATTATGTGATGCCGTACACGAAAGTAGTTGGGACAGGTAATTGCTCTCCATGATTCTTGCTTCTCTCTTTTTCCAATTAAGTAGAGATATTATATTTGCAAACTAAATATCGATTCAAACTCGTATAAAGTAAGATAATATAAACAAAAATATATTTGACTATTTGGTTAATTAATGAATAAACTACATATTTAGTCACTCATATTTTCAAAGCTTCATTTTGGTAATCCAATAATTTTGTTTTAAATAATACGTAACGTTATATTTTGATTTTGTTTCAGTCACCTACCGTAAAAGATTATCGATGATGTTGACATTTCATCATAAAATAATATCATATCATCATTAAAAAATAAAATAAAAGCTGACATGTCAGCAATTTTGTTTACTTTTTTAATAGTGGATGACAAAAACATAACTAAAACATAACATTAGATATGTTTTATTTAAAAAAAAGAAAAGGTAATTGATTAAAATGAAAAGGCAAGAAAAAATGAGTGACTAAATACATAGTTTATACTTTTTATTATTTTTTTATAAAAGCGATTTGTTTAATTAAAAAGATGAAATATTCATAATACAATGAAGTATACAACCATAAATGTAAACTACATGAATAAACAATCCACCAAAGATAGATACGAATAGATCTGACTGCATCAACAAACATATCATAAAAGAGGATCAAACTACCCCAAGACTAACGGCAAATCATAAATCAGAGTCGAGCTACTTGAGAAAACTATCCACGAATATAAATCATATATCTAAATCCAATATGAGGGTCCAAAGAAGAGAAGATCCGTATGATAACAAATAAGTATAATCTTGATCAGTTGTGATTATATCAAATCCAATTCTAAAAATAATAAACAAAAACAACGGTCACACAGTCGAAAATGTGCCAAAAAGATAAAAGAAAACGTGTCCTAAAAGTACATAAATCTTATCATAAAGATAAAATTATTATAAACCGAAAAAACAAGATAAAACTAAAGATACGGTATAAAAATAAAAATTAATAAATATCGACTATCGATAACTAATATCACCCCACCGTTAAAGATAAAAAGATAAAAAGAACAAGCGGAACATAGAAAATGGAAAACGAAAACTAGGGCTCCACGCTCAGTGAAGTATTGTTCCGCTTTTTGTCATTAAAAACAATCAATTAGATTAAACAACACGAATAATACATATACATGTATGTAACAAATGCTGCAATAAGAATTGGAAATAAAGGCAGTCAATTTTCATGGGGCTGACCCTCACCTACCTGTCCTTGAGTTCCCATGCACTGCCCGTACTTAGCCCCACCCTTTGTCTACCATAATAAATTTTCTATCCGTCTTTGTTGATCCATGGTTTGCTTGAGCAGTAACGAAAGCCATTGTCTTGGAGATGAGAGCACTTGATGGGGTCCTGGACTGAGGAGCCAACTTGATAAATCGATTCGTGTGGCGGTTTGTGCGACGCATGAGCCATCATTGCAGCTACCATGGCGTTCACCAATGGTATCTGCAAATAAACGCTCTCAAATTCAACATCATCCACTGAGTCCAGATTTCCCAGAACAATGTCAATTTCCCATTGGATTAACAAACTGCTAGACTATCAATAGTTGTATTATTAAAACAAACAAGTAGAATTTGTTAAGATAAAAGAAGTATTGAATTCATACTTTTTTATTTTTTATGTAAATAGAAACCGTTAGTTTATTAGAAAAAAATATCTAACCAGAAAGATCTAGAACCATAAATGTAAACTAAACACATAATTAGTACTTATTCTTATAACAATTGACATAAAAACTAGCCACTTAAGATCATAGAAGAAAAATGTTAAAAATTCATCTAAAAACAAAAGATAGATATAAACATATCTGATTGTATTGATAAATAGATCACAATAGAGAATCAAACTATTGAAAGACCACCAACCATCGCAAATCACAGTCGGGCGTCATGAGAAAACTATCTTCAAACATAAATCGTGTATTTAAAACTAATACGATAGTCGAAAGCAGAGAAAATCAACATGATAACAGATAAGTGTCATATTGATCAGTCGATGCGACAACAAATCTTACACTAAAAAATTAAAATAAAAAATGATCAAATGACTGATAAAGAAGACCATAAATGTGTCAAAAAACAGAGGAAAGTATCACATAAAGACAGAGTTATTGAAAATTAAAAAAAAAATTAAGATATGATATAAGAAAGTAAAAAAAAACAAAGGTGGTTAATGACCAGCAGGTCCAGCACCAAGGCAGGTGTCGTTGCCTGCCAACCAAAGAAGAAAAAAAGGCTCTAGAGAAAACTTTTTTTAGAGGGAATGGCTCTTTGTAAGTTCTTTGATGATGGTATGACGAGTGCAGAGGTGAACAAAATTTGAATCAAATTAAAAAAAAATTTACTTGACTCAACTCGTAATTTCATAAACTCGATTTGACTCGAAATGTTTTTTTTAAAATTTGAGTCAAGTTATAGAATAAAACTCGAATAACTCAATTTTTAATAATTAGAGAATTGATTTTCAAGTTTAAGTCGAATATTTCTCAATTATGTATGATATATATGTATATCACATATAAAAACATAAAGAAACTGTTAGACAAAACGTTAATATTTGAGAAATAAACAATAATAATAAGCGAAATAAAATATAACTGAAACAAACAAAAAAAATGAAAATAAAGACAAATTAGAAATTGATTACTCGTTTGTAGTCATGGAATTAGATTGAAAGAATAGTTGAGGTCTATTTATACAATTTTCTTAAAATAAATTTGTATGCTCTTACGGTGCTGGAAAATGTTCTGTCTCCCATGATACAATAACAAGATGAACATAATAGTAGCACAATTGCATTGATTAGCGAGTTGTAACTGAGTTTTTTTTTCAATCACCGAAAATGTTTGAAATAGGAGAAAATATTTTTGTATGTACTTATCTAGAAGGTTTACACAATTTAAATAGGAGATTCATATTGAAGAATTGTTGAAAAGTTCGAATATTAGAACAATAAATATTTGAGAATTAAGGAGCTATTAATGTGTATATTCTTATCTTGTGAATTAAGGTAACAAGTACCTAAAGTAATGTATGAATTAAAGACCTCCCACACTTGATATCCCACCAATGTCGATTATAAGCTTTCCATATTTCTCAATATAATGCACAAATAACTTACTTTGAGCATCAATTTTCATTCATCATTCAACTATTTTGAACATATGATATACCGTTGTAACTTATGAAGTAGAATATAAAATCTTCATTTTATGATTCAAATCTTCACCTTTATCCTTTGAAAGCATCCCTCAAATTTTCTAAGAAACCATTTTTTCAACAAATATATATATATATGATATATGATATATGATTATAGTAAACCGTTTGAATTGAAATCAAATAGTGCTATAATATTGTAAATATTTATAATTAAATTAAAACAAAAACACGAACAATTCGACTTGATTTAATTTTAAAAAATTAAATAAAATTTAAATCATAAATATGACTTGTTAACTTACTTAATTTTTAATTTGACTCGAATTAAATCAAATGTTTATCCCATGTATATTGCCTCTCTAATCCCCCACCAACACTTCCATCACCTTTATAAATTCGTAGGACTTTGTCCATCCATAAAGCCTTGCCGTGTTTTTACCATTTTTCAATTTTACTATTTGCATTTATTTTAATTATTTCGTTCCATTTAAGCATTTATTAAATGAATATCCTACATTTTAAGCCTTGTCAATGGTACTATTTGTCTCTTTTTTAAAATTAATTTTCTATTTTAAGTTTCCCCCCTTCTTCTAAATGAAAAAGGCCCTCCGGATAGTGATAATCTAATTTAATCATTTTTATATTGAAGTTTTAAGCTTATCTTCAAAAATTTATAAAATGAAATATATTAAAGGTCACTAAGTTATGTAAAAAACATTGGTCAACAATCTTTTAAATGTTACAAAACTATCATTAAGCTTCTAAAATTGTTACAAAATGATCTTATGTAAAGTTCAAATAACAATAATTTTTAATAAATTTAAAAATTATTTTATAATAATTTAATAAATCTAAAAATTATTTTAAAACAATTCAATAATTTTTAATGATCATTTACTATATAAAATTAAAAATTAAGAAACAACATCATTAGAAAATTTTCACCATCATACTTAGGGATGAGTATGAGTCGAGTTTCGATCAATCCGATCCGACCCGAACCTGTCTAAAGATAATACACACTCTACTTAACCGAAATCTGACCTGCATTTTTGAAATAAAACTCAGACCTGATTCGATCCGACCCTAAATAATATATTTATAAAAATATTATTATTTTCAATAAAATATGAATTTAATTGTGTGTGTACATATATATTTATATATAAGAGTGTTATTGCAATTATTCTTAAATATATAAAAAAAATTATATTTTTTCGAGTTAGGTCGAATCAGATATTTTTCAACCTAAAGTCGAATCCGACTCGACCGAAACATAATCTTTAAAAAATCGGACCTGAACCCAATAAGTTTTTAAAATAATCTGACCTGATAGGGTCATGTCGGGTTGACCCAAAGAGTTCGAGTTCTGTGTCCATCTCTAATCATACTCATAGAGAGAATATTTCAAAGTTATCTTAATTTTTTACATTAAAATATTTTAGATATGATACAAAGTATACAGATTGTAGAATTTGTATGTTATAATAAGTGACTTTAATTTTAATTTTAAGTAATATTTATATTATTTTTTTCAAAATTAATATTTAAATTTAATTTTTTTTGTACGAACCAAGTGATGTTAATGGTTAAGGAATTTCTTGTTATCTCTTAAAGTACCATGTTTAAGCATCACATATGAAGGATTATATGTGTTCATTTTCCAATTATTGAAAG